TATTTTAAGCCCGTAATTACCGGCATGACGATGCAGTGTTGATGCAAATAGACGCCTTCAGAAATAGTTCCGGGCCAAGGAAAAACGGACCAATGACAACAAAATTGAAACAGTAACTTTATTAACAACAATAAATTGACATTCCTTGTCAAATAAAGCATATATCAAAACTAGATATACATATATCCATTATCAAAAGCCATCACTCCACAACTATTTTTTTTATTTAAAACGAAGTCAGAAACACTTGCATATTTATATGTAGCCACAATGGCTTGTCTAGATAATTAAGATAATAAAAATAATTTCGAAAAGTCCCTGTGATTTTGCTACTTCTGGTTATTAATTTTGTAAATATGCTTTTTTTTCTCACATGATGTACAAAACATTGCCCCATTAGGATATTCTGACAAGGTGAAGTTAACGACGCCATCAAAAGACCATGGCTGCAATAGTAATAATGGTATTGACTTATCTGCAAATAAATTGGCAACCATACAACTTAATGCTAGAATCACTGTAATTCCTCCACCAGTATGAGTGATTTACATTATTCTGATAGTGTAACAAACAAGCTCTGTCCCGTCAGTTTATCCTAATAGGGATCTATGAAGGTATAATGGAATGCTGACAATATTCATATATTGAACAATCATTTTAATTTGTCACACGGAAAAAAAAAAAAAAAAAAACAAGAGCCTGTTTCAGGTCACGAAATACGCCTGTGATTTTGTCTGACTATCACCTACACTATTTATGCTGTATATAATATATTGCATTTGTTTCAATGGTAATTGCGTAATACTTTGCAAAGTTATTGCACCGACATTGAAAAGGTTACAGACATTAATGGGCCGTAACTCTAAAAGTTGTGGATCAAAAATCATGGAAATCAAACTCAATCTAGCTTTGATTGCACTTAAGCTTGCAATGAAAGTTAAAAGAAATCTGTTAAGGCTTAATAAATTGCAAAATCGCTGGGACATTGAAATGTTTACGAACAGAGGGACATACGGACGGAAGATGGACGGATGGAAGACGAGAATACCATAATATGTCCTGTCATTTGACGGATGTATAAAATACATAAATATCAAACAAAAAAAAGAAGTAAATAAATGTAAAGATCATAAATCTAAAATAATAAGCAAAATCACTTGAGGTACGCATATTGTGCATAAAAATACATTGAAAAATTAATTTAAGATTAGAAACAAGAGGCCCATGGGCCTTATCGGTCACCTTAGAATCAATCACTTCACAAGCAATGGTAAGAACTGACAGTATTTCTGATATTGATTTACATTTATTATTAACAGCTAATAGTTGTCTGCTGTTTAAAGAATTATAAAAAAAATCATCACATGTTTTGTTTTTTATTTGTCTATTTCATTATATCTAGGAACATTTATCTTATAGTGATATAGTGACAGCTGTCAGTTGCTCACTTATTATGAGTCCATACTAGTTTATGGAGAAATTACTGAAATTAGCATGTCTATGTGTGCTTGATGATGAAGATAATGATGTTGACTGTGTCTAAGAATCTGCAGCATCCTTATGCATGGAAGTTAAAGTGTGTGAAGAAGCTGATAATGAGGATGTGTGATGCTGCTGTGTGATGCTGCTGATGTTGGTATATATGATGATGTTGAGGTGTGACGATGCTGATTTGGTATGTGATAATGCAGATGTGTAATGCTGCTGAAGTGTGATGATGCTAATGTTGATAGGTGACCATAATGATGCTGATGGTATGTGATGATGCTAATGTGTGACGAGGATGATGATTGTATATGATGACGTTGATGTCAGATGCTGATGTTGTTTGTATATGTAACAATGCTGGAGTGCTAGTATGGCTGCAAGTTATAAATATATGTTTAGAGTGATTGTGTTACATAGTGTCTATGATAGTTAAGATATAGTGTGCAACTCAAAATGCTGTGTGTTTAGTGGTGAAAATGATGCATGACTATACTCTGTAAGTGTGTGACGATGGGAGTTATAGACTGATAGTATATATGAATCTATTTATTCCTCATGTGTTTTTCGATAAATAAAATATAAACAAATATATATAAATAAATAAAAATAAAATTGATATTATCCCTGTTAATAATTAACATTTAAAATTACTTTTGCTAAATGATTCTCTTGGCATGTTTAAATGGGTTAAAATTTCCCTTGCACCGGTTGCAGTGCGCTTCCATAAAATTCTACAACGATACTAAGCGATCTCTAAAAACTACAGCTCAAGCACCATTTCATCAATTAAATAATATTAATATAATACAAAAAGAACTATTACTTACGCATAAGAACTCACCACAGTTCCCCTGTAAGCAATTTCTTTCCGTGAGGTGCGCGTAATACCCGCCATGCTTACATAAAAATAAAATCAAGTAGGAAAGCTCCGTGCGGGGAGGTAACTCTGCACGAACGTCAAAAATATTCTGATATGCTTTGGACTACCCCAACATACAACAATTTCTGGTCAGTGAAATAACGGAGAACGGAAACACGGTAATGGAAGGGTGTACACTATTTAGGGACTAGCGAATTGTTTGTTTTGACAGCCAAGCGCAGCAAATTATGCAGAGCAAACACACAAACGAAACATCAAAATGTACGCACGTTCAGAAACTGAACACATCTTTTTTTATTCCGATGTATTTACTCTATTGCTAGGCTGGCTGGGAAAACCTTTGTCATTTGGTTTCCCAGGACAATCTGATCTGCCTTATGACTCTAATTGCACGGAAAGACACGTGGACATACGACAGTTTACTACCTGTATCGTTCTCTATTGCTACTCAGTTTACAGTAGCACAGACATATTGACGACTTCTATCTGAATTTTCATAATGATTATTTTAAACAAACACATCTTAATCTCAGCTACAAAGTTTTCTGACTGTTACCTAAGACGGACTTGGTCAAAGATCATGTGTTTTATGTTATAACTGAGAGACTTGATATGTGTCCCACAAATACATTTTGATTACATACACCTGTGGAATGTGAATATAAATGGAAAGTTTTTTCTCTGTATTAAATGGTTAGTAAACAAATATTTCAAGATAAGGAAATTGTCACTTTATGATAAGTAGATAGATATAATGTATATGTCATGGTTAATATATACGCATTTTATGGCGAGTACATTATGGTATATAGTTGATATTTATGTATGTATGAGTGGTAGATAGCTGTTCCGAATTAAACGGGGTCTTAGAATTATATAAGTTCGAGATAGGAAGAAACATTTTTTGTGGGGGGATAGGTCAATATTTATGGGGACGGGCTTGCATTTTAATGGGTAGATAAGTATAATATGGAGGGATCTATAAGTATTTTTATTTTTTTCAGGTACTTGAGTAGGCATGTATGACAGGTGGTTTCAGGGGTGGCTAAGATATTTCTCTTGATTATTACTCTAAAAATCTATGACAGTTCTGAAGAAAATTTCAAACGAGTTGTGACCGTAAGTCACAGATACCCTACTTGGTGGGGCAATTTTCTTGATTTTAAAGACAAAAATGCATATCTCAGCTTATTACTTGATCTTGGGAAAATGGTTAATTTTTGAAAATTGGAAAAATTACTATGAGGCTATTTTTTAATCAACAAGATATCTCTCTATCAAAGTCTAAAATAGAAATTGAATTTTATAAAATGGGCAAAGATTTTAGCTTTTTTTTTTTTAAATTTCAAAGAAGCATTTACATTCGTATTTTTTATTACAATTATTCAAGTATAATTTCATTACGTTTAAAGAAAGGTGATGTGTTATGTGGGTCACCCTGAAAGTAACAATGAATATTTAGGATTTTTTTCTTTTATTTTCCTTGTTACGCAAATCCGGATGCCAGTGGTGGGAAAGGAAGTCTACAATTTATTTACTGATTTTTTTTCCTCGATATACAAATCTGTAAAAGGTAACCTTCCAAAAATTCATGGTCAGAGCAAGTCAATGTCAGAAAACATCCGTAACGATTTGTACATGTATATAGATATAACTTTTAAAATCTTCATAGTTTCAAGCTTATGTATCCTTCATGACTTACAATGTCGCTACACGATGAAACATTGATATTTTTTTCTGTATTTTTGTTAATAAACACTTCTAGATAAGAACCCGCACAATATGTGATGGCAAATCCTTGATATTTCTACAGGTGAAATTTCACAGAATGTGTCATGTCCCAAAGACTGGATAAACTATGACCACCACTGCTATTGGTTAGGTGTCGACCTTCGATCCTGGCAGGAAGCGCAGGTAACTTCGTAAAAAAGATTCGAAAATAAGTATCAGCATTTACGAACCTATGAATAATATACAATTGTATTCACAAACAAGTTAACTCTTCATTACTGTATCGGTTTGCATATCTTGACATTTGACAACCTAAATAGGTTAAGAGATTACCTTGTATATGTTTCTACGTCAATATAAGGTTCATTTTGCACGTTTTATCTTGATAATTGTGAAATGGGTTGGTATAATAAGATTAAAATATATACTATTATTAGGACATTTCCTCGCAATACAGGAATCATTTAATCACCTTCAATTGAAATTGGTGTCATTGTTTGCTGTAAATATCATTCACGTGTTCTGTTAGTTCACCAAGCATTTTAATTTATCTTTGTTGATTTTTTTTTTTTTTTTTGAAATTTTGAAATTTTGAAAATCCTTTAACTGTTAGTTTAGTTGTTGTAAACTTCGTTTACCTTTCAAAACATGACTCTTACTTTGATTGACCAAGGTTTACATGGCAGGTGTCGTCGATGAAAAGGAATATATATAAATATAAACTTTATTTGTTTTACAACAATTGCGAAACAAGTTATTTAAACTTATACTAATCACTCTTGTTGGCCCGGATGTAAGCGCGCGAGGGGCCTTATTGTGGGAGGAAACCGGAGTACCCGGGGAAAACCCACGCGGTCGGACAGGTGACCCCTTACCTTTTCACGTCCGTTCCGGGAATCGAACCCCGGTCGGCTAGGTGAAAGGCGAGTGCGTTAACACTGCGCCACCCGACCACCCATTGAAAAGGAAGACGTTTACTCTTCTGGAACACCTGTTCATATTCTGCTTGTACTTTTTTCATGAGTATCCGCTAAATCTTTCCTTTGTTCATATTTTGCCTTAGTTTTATGAACTCCGATTTAGAATTGGATTATGATTACGATGACATATTGGTATTTTCTTGGTGTCTTTTTTTCACATGTATTATTTTACAGTGATTATGCACCGTCTTTTATTTTCATTTTATCATTTGTCCCCCTGACTTTATCATCAAAAGGACTCGTTAATAATTACCATAAACGTGTTTTTAGTTGGTGCAAGCAAGCGGTGATCGTGTTTTGAGAAAGAATTTCATATTGCACATCGATCTTCATGCAGATACTTTAATCTTTCAATACAACAAATATTCTAGTTTGTTTGGCTTATTTACTTTTCAGATTGCATTTTTTTGTGTTTTAGGATGACTGTCAAAGAAAGGACAGTAATCTTGTAACAATAGATACTGAGGAGGAAAACTACTTGGTGAAGGGTATGCAATGCTTACAAGGTATGAAATATCAATATTTCATTCGCAATTTTATAACAAGACACTTTCGATGTCATCTTTCTAGCAACGAAGACTGATTGATAAGGGGTGAGCCTCATATTTACGGGGTTTGATATTTCTCCTAGCAAGATCTTCCGTAAGGATAGAATGTACTCTTACCTGTAAAACCCCAACGGTATTGGCTATATATCTCTCTGTAACTCGCCTGTCAGCCATAACAATATTATGGACTTTATTGACCATTTCTGGGGTTGCAACCGTACCTGGGCTTCCAGGACGGGCGTCATCCCCAAGGCTCTGCCTGCCATACTTAAATTCCGCCACACACCTTTACACTGTAGCATATGAAGAGCATCATTCCCTAGTGTTGCTACCATTCAGTATGAATATCCTTAGGTGCTAGACCTTTCTTATGCAAATATTGAATCACTGATCTTGTCCATTTTGCAAAAGTCACTTGCCTTGTTTACCTTAGTGTGCTACATCTTCGACATAACTGACCAAATGACACCAGTTATCAGGTTCACAACCTTAAATAGTCAATGAATAGTAGAGCTCAAACATATTTTCTTTCATTTTGTTCTCTTTTTAAATGGTATCGATGTTTACTACGAATGGAAAGCTCGAGAAAATCTGTTGTAATATGTAATCTATTATTTATTTAATCCATTTACCATGACAAAAATGTCCCAAGATAAAAAAAAAGAGAGATTGTCTAGCCCCTACCCTACAATTATGTGCTGTAAAAATTTCCTTAACAAAAAAGATTGAATTATGGGGCTAGTGCATCCTTTCCCACCGAGATTTTGACATTTTATTCAATCCCTTTTATTTTTCTCAACAGCCTCAAAGTCTTCAAAATTTCGGGCCCTAAGCCCCAATAACAATTCCGAGAATGACGAAACAGCCGTATGATGTATTGAAATTTATTGTTTGGCTCATACGTAAATTTGTTGTAAAAATCGTTATTTACTTATGTGTCTTTTGTACACTCCTTGGTATATAATCTTTTCAATCACAACGAAACACATGACGTAATGATAAGTGGGCAACAGAGATTTCACGTTGATGAACACGTGTTTGTTTGTTTGTTGCTGTTTTAAGACAACGCATGGATTGGAGCATATGCCACTGATCATACTCCACGGGAATGGCGATGGGTTGCAGACAATTCTACAGTAATATTTTTTGACTGGGGACCGAATGAACCTTTTAATCTTAATGGTGTCGAAGATTGTGTTCATTTTTTGAACAGCCAATGGAATGACGGATTGTGTTCAGTTAAAAAGCCATTCATTTGTGAGCAAGAAGGTTAGTACAGATAGAAGAATGTAGTATTATATCGTTCTGCATAAAAGTAAAATCTTATCCTGTTAAAGTAAACCTGCTTGGATGAATCTGAATTGTCACTTCTTTAGATAAATATTTGAAAACTTGTAAGATGCTTCCGTATTACTTTTATTTCTCATCTTTAATTTTGAAAAATGATTTCAGGGATTGTTTAATTGAGAAAGTGTATCAATTTTATTAAACTTTTTGAAGGTTTATTCTATTAATGTCAATTTATTAAAGTATTTTTGAAGCAGTTTCTCTAATCAACGGCATATATTTTTTTAGTTTACAAGTAAAAACTGTGTATTTTTTTTTACGGAATGAATACTATATGAACAATGCACGATGGGTATTGGATTGTAATTGACATGAAATATACTATATTACTACTGGAAAACATCTGATAACACAGTGTAAATAAACTGTATTTCATGTCGTTCATTGATTAATTTTATTCATAAAATGATCAATTATGCAGATGCATCAATAAACAAAATAATAAATACATATTTTATGATTGGCACAAACTATATGATTATGTGTGAACAAAGTTTTCAACCTATTGTGCAATTTGATTTTAAAGATTAATTTCAATTTTCTACGGTTTTACTGAAACCTTAAAAACAAAAAAGGACGTTTTCCCGCGGAAATCGTGTACTCGATTATCATTTTCCACCGATTTTGTTTTTCATTATATCTATTTTTAGTAATTTTATGCTTTCCTCGAAAATAGCGAAAAATCGACCCCCTAAGAATAACAGACTTTTCAGTAACCAGTTCCATGTATGATATAATTTGGAGAAAACAAATACACGGTAAAAGCAAAATACGGATAGAAGGTCAGAGGAAATATCTAATTGAATTTGGAAAATATAGATACAACACGTAATGATAAATTTGTTGACAAGACTCTCAATTAATATTCCATTTTGAGATGTTTCATTTTCAGTTTGATTCCAGCTAAATTCTTATCCTGATTCTGATCATTGCTCTAAATGAGTTTGATCGGAACCATTACCATGCAGACCATCATTAAATCTACGGAGGCAGCTAGATATATACTGATTATGGTGGAGATGTTATGTATACAACTGCAGAAGCACCTGCAGTATACCCATATACTTTAAGATGATATTTGTGTCATGTATTTGTTAAGTACACGTTCTCGTGGTGCCCATGTGACTGTCACGTGTCTTGTCTTGTACAATTTACCTACAAAACGTGTCTCGTCTAATACTGTGATTGTGTATATCGTCTGATGCTGTCTGTCGTGTCATTTTTTAGAGTTCATTGCAGTATGTCCTATTATTACAGCGAGGAACGACAACTCTTGCAGTCTTGAGAATTTTGATTATTTATGACATGTATTCTTGTCTGTCACGTGGTTGTTTACTGGTGTGAGAGAAATGTCATATCTATATGTACGGTATGAGGCAATTGAGTATGTCAAATGAAACAGAATCTCGAGGTCATGATGAGAGAAAACAGATATTACAGGTTAGTATTTTTGTCTTTTGAGTAGATCTATATACAATACACAGGGTTGCATCTCCATAACAAATTATGGTTTTATGCACTATCGTAATATTTCCAATGATCGCTTTGTTTCCCATACTATAGCTTGTAATTTCTTAATATCATATCTTCGTATGATTTTGTTTATCGAGCAAATTACATGAAATTGATTTTCTTTTTCTCCAAATAATTTTGTTTTCTTGTTTACAGGAGTTATAAACTTCTCCTTGTGAATATAGATGTGTTCGATGAGTGTTGATTTGGCGGGTCGTTTCGTAATATTTTTAACGTTTAACTGTTATTAAAGTTTAAAAGTGTAAATTTCATTTATAAAGTCCATTTGTGTAACCCACATCGATTACGTATCAAGCATACATCCTGATTTATTAACTTTTTCATTTTCCGTTGATCTATACTTAAGCGTTTCCTCTTAGAACAGTTTTTTAATAAGAGAAGAAAACACGGACAGTGGGAAACTCAAGCTTGATAGAATTGTAAGTTTGAAATCATAACAGCCATTATCATGTATATCAAATAAACAGAAAATTTGTCAAATGCATGATAAGTCAACGGACACGTCAATAGACACTGATTGTGTCAACATTTACCGACTTTTTCAACAGACACGGAACTTGTCAACATTTACTAAGTATATCAACATATACACAGTGCATGTTTACAGACACTAGGCATGTTAATAGACACTAGGCATGTTAACAGACACTAGGCATGTTAACAGACACTACGCATGTTAACAGACACTACGCATGTTAACAGGCAATGGGCATGTTACAGACACTGGGCATGTTAACAGACACTGGGCATGTTAACAGACACTAGGCATGTAAACAGACACTAGTTATGTTAACCGACACTGGGCATGTTAATAGGCAATGGGAATGTTACTGACACTAAGCATGTTAACATACACTAGGCATGTTAACAAACAATGGGCATGTTAACAGACACTGAGCATGTTACGGACACTGGACATGTTAACAGACACTAGGCATGTTAGCAAACAATGGGCATGTTAACAGACACTGGGCATGTAAACAGACACTAGTTATGTTAACAGACACTAGGCATGTTAACAAACAATGGGCATGTTAACAGACACTTGGCATGTTAACAGGCAATGGGCATATTACAGACACTGGGCATGTTAACAGACATTAGGCATGTTAACAAACAATGGGCATGTTAACAGACAATGGGCATGTTAACAAACAATGGGCATGTTAACAGACACTGGGCATGTTCCGGACACTGGGTATGTTAACAGACACTAGGCATGTTAACAGACACTAGTTATGTTAACAGACACTGGACATGTTAACAGACACTAGGCATGTTAACAGACACTAGGCATGTTAACAGACACTGGGCATGTTAACAAATAATGGGCATGTTAACAGACAATGGGCATGTTAACAAACAATGGGCATGTTAACAGACACTGTGCATGTTAACAGACACTAGGCATGTAAACAGACACTAGTTATGTTAACCGGCACTGGGCATGTTAATAGGCAATGGGCATGTTACTGACACTAAGCATGTTAACAGACACTAGGCATGTTAACAAACAATGGGCATGTTAACAGACACTGAGCATGTTACGGACACTGGACATGTTAACAGACACTAGGCATGTTAGCAAACAATGGGCATGTTAACAGACACTGGGCATGTAAACAGACACTAGTTATGTTAACAGACACTAGGCATGTTAACAAACAATGGGCATGTTAACAGACACTTGGCATGTTAACAGGCAATGGTCATGTTACAGACACTAGGCATGTTAACAGACATTAGGCATGTTAACAAACAATGGGCATGTTAACAGACAATGGGCATGTTAACAAACAATGGGCATGTTAACAGACACTGGGCATGTTCCGGACACTGGGTATGTTAACAGACACTAGGCATGTTAACAGACACTAGTTATGTTAATAGACACTGGACATGTTAACAGACACTAGGCATGTAAACAGACACTAGTTATGTTAACAGACACTGGACATGTTAACAAATAATGGGCATGTTAACAGACAATGGGCATGTTAACAAACAATGGGCATGTTAACAGACACTTGGCATGTTAACAAACAATGGGCATGTTAACAGACACTGGGCATGTTAACAAATAATGGGCATGTTAACAGACAATGGGCATGTTAACAAACAATGGGCATGTTAACAGACACTTGGCATGTTAACAAACAATGGGCATGTTAACAGACACTGGGCATGTTAACAAACAATGGGCATGTTAACAGACAATGGGCATGTTAAAAAACAATGGGCATGTTAACAGACACTGGGCATGTTAACAGACAATAGGCATGTTACCAGACACTGGGCATGTTAACAGACACTAGGCATGTTAACAGACACTAGGCATGTTAACAGACAATAGGCATGTTAATAGACAATGGGCATATTAATAAACACTAGGCATGTAAACAGACACTAGGCATGTCAACAGACACTACCTATATTACAGACACTAGGCATGTTAACAGACAATAGGCATGTTACCAGACACTGGGCATGTTAACAGACACTAGGCATGTTAACAGACACTAGGCATGTTAACAGACAATAGGCATGTTAATAGACAATGGACATATTAACAGACACTAGGCATGTTACAGACACTAGGCATGTAAACAGACACTACCTATATTACAGACACTAGGCATGTTAACAGACAATAGGCATGTTACCAGACACTGGGCATGTTAACAGACACTAGGCATGTTAACAGACACTAGGCATGTTAACAGACAATAGGCATGTTAATAGACAATGGACATATTAACAGACACTAGGCATGTTACAGACACTAGGCATGTAAACAGACACTACCTATATTACAGACACCAGGCATGTTAACAGACACTTGGCATGTTAACAGACAATGGGCATGTTAACAGACAATGTGCATCTTACAGACGCATGACAAATTAATAAACGAACGGCAGGTAAGAGACTCCGGACATGTTACAGACACAGGGCATATTAACAGAAACATGAAATGTTGACATACACTGGACATGTTACACTGGTCATGTTACACTGGTCATATTACAGACACTGAACATGTTACACTTGACATGTTACAGACACTAGACATGTTACACTGGACATGTTACACTGGACATGTTACACTGGACATGTTACAGATTTGACATGTTACAGACACTGGACGTGTTACAGACACTGGACATGTTACACTGGACATGTTACTGACACTGAACATGTTATATACACTGGACATGTTACACTGGACATATAACACTGGACATGTTACAGACACTGGACATGTTACACTGGACATGTTACAGACACTGGACCTGTTACACTAGACATGTTACAGACTTGACATGTTACAGACACTGGACGTGTTACAGACACTGGACATGTTACACTGGACATGTTACAGACACTGGACATGTTACACTGGACATGTTACAGACACTGGACATGTTACACTGGACATGTTACAGACACTGGACATGTTACACTGGACATTACATTGGACATGTTACAGACACTGGACATGTTACAGACACTGGACATGTTACAGACACTGGACATGTTACACTGGAAATGTTACACTGGACATGTTACAGACACTGGACATGTTACAGACACTGGACCTGTTACACTAGTGCTTGACATGTTACAGACACTGGACGTGTTACAGACACTGGACATGTTACACTGGACATGTTACAGACACTGAACATGTTACACTGGACATGTTACACTGGACATATAACACTGGACATGTTACAGACTTGACATGTTACAGACACTGGACATGTTACAGACACTGGACATGTTACACTGGACATGTTACAGACACTGGACATGTTACACTGGACATGTTACACTGGACATGTTACAGACACTGGACATGTTACACTGGACATGTTACAGATTTGACATGTTACAGACACTGGACGTGTTACAGACACTGGACATGTTACACTGGACATGTTACACTGGACATGTTACAGACACTGGACATGTTACAGACACTGGACATGTTACACTGGACATGTTACAGACACTGAACATGTTACATACACTGGACATGTTACACTGGACATGTTACAGACACTGGACATGTTACACTAGACATGTTACAGACACTGGACATGTTACACTGGACTTGTTACAGACACTGGACATGTTACACTAGACATGTTACAGACACAGACACTGGATAAGACACTGGACCTGTTACACTAGACATGTTACAGACTTGACATGTTACAGACACTGGACGTGTTACAGACACTGGATATGTTACACTGGACATGTTACAGACACTGAACATGTTACATACACTGGACATGTTACACTGGACATGTTACAGACACTGGACATGTTACACTGGACATGTCACAGACACTGGACATGTTACACTGGTCCTGTTACAACTGTCATTTTATTGACCCTGTTCTTTTTACAGTTGTCATGTTACAGACACTGGACATGTTACAGACTGGACAGACACTGGACATGTTACACTGGACATGTTACAGACACTGGACATGTTACACTGGACATGTTACAGACACTGGACATGTTACACTGGACATGTTACAGACTTGACATGTTACAGACACTGGACATGTTACACTGGACATGTTACAGACACTGGACATGTTACACTGGACATGTTACAGACTTGAAATGTTACAGACACTGGACATGTTATGCTGGACCTGTTACAGACACTGGACATGTTACACTGGACATGTTACAGACACTGAACATGTTACACTGGACATGTTACACTGGATATGTTACGCTGGACATGTTACAGACACTGGACCTGTTACACTAGATATGTTACAGACTTGACATGTTACAGACACTGGACGTGTTACAGACACTGGACATGTTACACTGGACATGTTACAGACATTGGACATGTTACAGACACTGGACATGTTACACTGGACATGTCGCAGACACTGGACATGTTACACTAGACATGTTACAGATTTGACATGTTACAGACACTGGACGTGTTACAGACACTGGACATGTTACACTGGACATGTTACACTGGACATGTTACAGACACTGGACATGTTACACTGGACATGTTCCATTGGACATGTTACAGACGCTGGACATGTTACAGACACTTGACATGTTACACTGGACATGTTACACTGGACATGTTACAGACACTGGACATGTTACACTGGACATGTTACAGACACTGAACATGTTATATACACTGGACATGTTACACTGGACATATAACACTGGACATGTTACAGACTTGACATGTTACAGACACTGGACATGTTACACTCTGGACATGTTACAGACACTGGACATGTTACACTCTGGACATGTTACAGACACTGGACCTGTTACACTGGACATGTTACACTGGACATGTTACACTGGACATGTTACAGACTGGACATGTTACAGACACTGGACATGTTAC